TGCTACCTTTGCCTGCTCATTGTTGTGTGTAATTGAAAGGACTTCAAATTGGATCTTGTATCCTGGATGGTTTTCAGGACAGGGAATAATTTAGAACAACAACAAAGAAAAATATAGTAAGCAAGTATATTTAACTCTTTTCTTCCCCACTGAAATAAAGCAAGATTATTCAAAGCTTTGCTGATAAATTCTAGGGTAAAGCAAATCAGACTGTAGATGTGGGACTTGAAATATGCAGCCCTCGAGAGCTAAGAATTAGAATGACTGCCTTAGTTAAAATGCTCTTTCCCCTCACAGTGTCAGGTAATTTTTAATGCTGAACTTGACATTTCACATGCTTGTCAGTCTTCACTTTCCTACTGTAATCTGGCAGGTTAGGATGTGTTGTAAAGGTAGGGAAGCCTTAAGGACATACTGGAGTCTTTGCTGCAAACCTGTGGTAAGACTATTTTAATTTTGTATCATCCTATTTAATTGCCATAGCTAAGAATAACTTTCCCCTTAACTTCTGTGAAGGACAAGTAAGGCACCATAGTGTTATACGTGCCCTTGGAATGGCAGTCCATCTGTGCCACTGATGTGTTCAGGACTCAGCCGATTTAATTCAGTGGTAAAGGCTTGTACATTAGCAGTGAAGGTCTCTGTTTTTACACAAAACTATTTCTTAACAAAGGACAGTACACTGATCACAAACAGAGGACAGTTTCTTTTGTTTAGATACCACCCCCAGGCCATAGCAACACAGGCCCACTGTTGCCATAGTCTACACGTAGTAGGTGCATTTTGTACCAGGTCAGATCCAATCTGTATTTGCATACCCTGAACAGCAAGCGAGTGCAGTGAGAGCTGTGAGTGGGGACCTTTCTTTCCTAAGTGTATTGCATGTGCTTTGTGTATGGATGCTGGAGTTCCAAAAGAGCAAAAGATCACCACCCAAAGCAATAGTGCACAAAGCTGAGGGGTAACATGTCTGCCTGGGAGAACAGCAAAGAAACCTGAACAGCATTAAATAGCAGAGACTGTTCTGATCAACTGTGCATTTGCCATTTCATATTGTTGTAGCACTGTGCATAAGTGGGACTGAGTGAATGCTGTAGTAATGTGAGTTACACCAACCTTCCAGCTGTTTCAGCTATATTAATATCTATTTTCATGTTTTAATTTTGTAATTCAATACAAAGTTAACCTACCAGCCCTGGTAATTAGCTAGGAATATGCAGTTTAAGACAGGGTTCTGGCATATCTGTTTATGTTGGGTTTATGGAGGATTAAATTGTGGGAAAACACTGTAGTATGCTAATTAAAAAATAAAATATTTAACAACTCAATCATACATTATAAAAATGTGGAATGTTTAAGGAAAACAAAGCAAAGAAAATTTTGCCTTAAAGATGGTTGTATTGTTTCACATCTCAAAAGAAAGTGAAATTACTGCCTTTCTTTGAACTGTTTCACTTGGCATCTTTGGAGATGTTTGCAGGTAAGCCCCAGATTAAACCTCATGCTTTGCTAGTTTGCTCACTAGGAAATGTTTTGGCCTGGGACTTTGTACTCCAGGAGTGCCTGGTGGCAGCCTGCAAAGCCCAGCTGAGAGGGGGCTGTTGGGGCTGTGTGTAAAGCTGAAACTGTTCCCCTGCTTTGCAAAGTTTCCCTTTTGAAAAGGAGTGGGAATAGTTTCTATTTAGAAACTAATGGAAGTGGAGACCCTGCAGCTCTGATAATGACTTTCTGAAAACAGCCAGAAAAATACCAAAAATTGAAGCTTTGAGAAGAAAAGAGAGTGGAAAGAGCAAGGAGACTGCGAAGTCGGTGTCAGAATTGGGATGCACCTCTGAGGGGGTGCTGACAATGGTGCACACGTGCTTCTGAGCAGCAGGGTATCCAAAAGAAAGCTCGGTGCTGTGTTAGTGAAAGTCAAGGAGTCAAGTGTTAGTATTTTCTAACCTCAGATGAATCTACTTGTTAAAGAAGAATCCCCAAGCAATTTCAGTAGACGTGAAAATCACAGAATGTGTTATGCCTGTACCGTCCTTTCTCAGATATTCAGCATCCGGCTTTTCAAGCAATCATCAGCCATCTACAATCCATCTAGGACTTTAATCTGAAAAGAGACAGCAGCTGAATGTATAAATACAGTTATGTTGTCTTGATGTTAAGGGTATACAGCAAGTTACGTGGAAAAGCAGTGATGTTCTTTATAGGTCAGCAGCACTGAGCTGTATAATGTTCTGGTGACAGCTCTAGTGACAGATGTGGTTCAGGAAAAAGTTACTGTATTTAACTGACAGTAAATACTACAAAACATAGTGAGATAGAAGAGTGCTGCTTTACTGTCAAGGGAAACCAAGATATTATAAAACAGTCTATATCATTAAAAATTAATAAAAAGGATTAGAAAAATCTGGAGAAAGGCAGTAGCACATGTTGCTATATAGACATGTGTCAGACTGATTAAATCTATTTAAGCAAAACATTCCACTGAGTTCTGGGAAGATACAAGTGAATTTGCAGAAGTGTCCTTGTAATAATTGTCAATGTTGGGGCTGCTTAACATAATGTCAGGAACCTGCAAAATCTCCAGCCTCCAATTACCAGTGATGGAGCAGCTAAATAACATGCCTGGAGACTTCTGCTAGGAGATGGGCATGTTATCGTGGGATTGTAAGGGATGACAAAGCTCGACTGGAAAACAGACTTAATCGTGTAATTAGTAACCCAGAGATTTAGGCAGAGTCAAAGCACATGATCAGTTAATTAAATTGGTTGCTGTGGACTTGATACTCTACAGAGGGTAGTACCGGGATTTGCTGTCACATGAAAAGTGCAGTTGGGTGTGCTGATGGAGATGTCATGCTGCACAGGGCACAAGAACAAAAGATATTTTATGAACCAATTATCCCCTTCTTGTTGGCTGACCTCTCTCATCCAAAATACAGAAGGAAGTGGTCAGCTAAACAGGAATTACTTTCAAGGCAGCAGTTGCTCAACATGGCCCGTACATTTTGCCATTTTGAGTTGAAACTCTTACGAAGCCCCACAAAGAAGGTCAGTGTCCTCAGTCGGGGTTTATGTTAACTGTAAAGGAATATGCGTCTCCCATAGACTGGCAAGAAAACAACGAGGAGAATTCGTGCTCCACCTCCATAGGAATGGAGTGGCAATTGCATTAATATACAAGAGACACAGCAAATATTTTCACTGTTTGGATTTACCTATGCAGAACTGTGAAGAGCCTTTCTTCAGTAGCCAGAACATAGGTTTAGAGCCATTGGAGGTGGGATATGGCATGATACTTGGATCTGCTGGGGAGTGCCATGGCCAGGTGGGCTCAGACTGGTAGCTAGCAGGTTTGTACAGCTACTGGTATCATAATGAGTGATTTGGGCTGGTGCTTAGTCTTGAAACAGAAATATGCCATGCATGACTACCCTGAAAGAATTCCAACCCCAAAGATACGCAGACATTTGGTATTGTAATTATACATATTATTGTTCTCAACAAGTCTATCTTGTTATTTTTACAGTCCCTAAATTAGTCTGAGTCTGCTTCATTGCTTAACAGTGGTTTAAGTATTTCAGTAAAACTTAGATAGGTGAATTAAAGCTGATTGTAAAATATGAACAACTAGCTTTTTCCTGGCCCATATATGCACAGCTTTGTCCAATATAAAGGACTCCTTCCCAAACAAAAAATAAAATCATGCTGTTCCAGCATGGGGTGACAGTGAAGCTCCCCAAGGTGCACATTGCATCTGGGTGCTGTAAGCAGCAGGACTGCATCTCATTCATGTGAACAGAAGTCTCCTCAGTGATTCATGTGCATCAATACTTCAAGGCCCTTTATAGGACCTCCTTTTAATTCTGAATGCTCTATGCATGTCTTTTCTGTTTACAAGTAACAACATTTCTCTGTATTGGTTTTCCAACAAAGCAGTGTCTTTTCAAAAATATACTGCTTCTCAAATTAATGAGATTTTAGTATCTTCAGCTTTTTATATTTCATTAGAATATAATAGGGTTTTAAAAATGGAAACTTTATAGAAAAATGACATTTGCCAAAAATTGAGTTTTTCTTCATATGAATAGATATTGCTAATGATTAAAATATGGGACTTAAAAATAAGTAATAAATGAGAACTATTGTGCAAAGAATGAAAAAAACCCTCTTTTAAACATGGACAGCCAACTATAATTTTGAAATTTTCTTGGCATTTTTTCTCTTTATTTAGCAGCTTTACCTTTTGACAATTTAGTATATTAAATCACTGATTTTTAATATAAGCTCCTTTTGTTAATGTCACAGGTGCTTTTACTATAGTGGATGAAAGTGATATGATTTCAAAACAGTTCTTATAATTTTGTGTGATATCATGGACTAATTATTCATAAAAATATAAGAGTATAAGCAGCATTTATATTGCTAATTACTAAATTGAGGAGCATTTGATTTGATGGCACTCCAATTCAGCTGAAATGTAACTGAAACCCTTGCTCAACTGAGAAGTGTTTTTGTTCTGAATATTGACACAGTTAATGGTTAATTGGCAGACAGTATCTTTGAAGCAGAACTCCCTTAGCACTGAGGCCTTCTCACACTGTAGAGTGCTTCAATTATTTATGCTTCGCTGAAAATTTCTTTGTGTTGGAAATATTAACAGTTGATTTAAGGCTGGAACCTTTTAATTTATGCATTAGACACTTTACATTTAAATGGCAATAAGTTTTCTGAGGGGTATCTATGAGTTCCCTAGGAAGGAAACAGTTTTGTTCTAACTCCTGACAGGTTTTGTGGGGCAAATCCCATCTCTGTTTCCTGTATGGCCTCATATCTGTGTTACCTGTATTGATTTTAAGTGCTTTGAGGGAGAGTGTGCTGGTAGCTGTGTGCACACAGAGCCCCAGGTGCCATGAGCCCCATCCGTGCCTGGAACCTGCAGGAAGTGGCTGCCACACAAGAGCCAGCTTTAGCTGTAATGCATACTGTTGCCTTGGTTTGCAGCAATGCCCTTACCTCTGGCCACTCAAGAAAGTGAAGCCCTTCACCAGCTCTTGACCTCTGCAGCGTCAGACAATCACTGGAGCCATTCACTGTTTGCATTGGTGCCCTCATGGACAAAGAAGATTTTGTTCAAACGAGAGTCTTCTGTTAACCCCTCTCAGGTCAGTAAAAGATGGTTTGCAGCTTTTAATATCTCTAAGGATTGTAGCAATTGTATCGCAAGTGAATGTTGCTGGGAATTTACTACCCAATTAGTACATTTCTACTTCTGTCTCAGGTGGTTATGTTTAGTTGAAATGGCTTCAGCAACACCAACTCATGAGATGCTTAAAGAGTTATTGTGACAGATAAGCTATATGATTGCTGTGTAAATTCTGATAGGTGCTTAGTAATGAGATGGATCTGTATAGTCTGACGAATTTTACGCAGTGTGTTTTGTCAGAGAACTGTGATGGCCAAAAGATGAATATATCAATTAAGATACTAGTAATTACTTGTGGGAATAAGTAGTTCATACAAATTTGGATTAGAAAAAAAGATTAGCTATTGGGATAACAAAGCTCTTAAATTTTAAGGCAATACCACTATTTTTTTTCCCTCATTTCATTATTTACCTTTCTAACTTGTGCTGCAGTTTGTGAATTATGATATTTTCAGACACTTTGTAGACTTTTCCCCTTCCTCCACAGGCTAAAGATGTGTCCAATATGTCAGTTTCTTCTGGATTTGGAATAACCCTTCAGAAATGTGGTGTGGTAAGTTTTCTTATATTTGTCTTGTTAATTTGGTAGAAAATTTGTCCTTTAAAAAGTGGGAACAGAATTGTGCCAATACTGAGTATTTGGGAGAACATCCTTTTTGATGTTAAGATGGTTACACCCTCTCTAAGAGGCCCGGATTTGCAATGTTGATTCAAAACTGAAGGAAGTCAGTGAAATCTCTCAGACGTCAGGGGATTTTGGATTGTCATAAAACTAAATGCTTTGGTGTGAATTTGTAAAACTATAAATGGGCAAAGCCCAGAAATCAGCCACAAGGCTGGGTAGAGATAGAGACATACTTCTTTAGAGGATGAGATAAGCCTTCTGAGGTACTCTTCTGGCTCAGTCATGGGTGCCCTACCTGTGTCACCTATGGACTCCTTTTGAAGACTAGGGCACTGAGCCTTGTGATGTCTGTTCTATCTTTGGGCATCCTATCACACATCCATTGAAGAACCAACATGTCAGTCTGCATATTCAGGGGGACTCAGCTACAGCACAGTATATAATGAAAAGAAGGTTTCATTTGATTTGTGTAAAATGCTTATGAGGAGAAAAGACCTCCCTAATATAAGGAAATTTTGAACCTTCCATTTTATTTTTACTTTATGTGGCATAGGTTGATAGATTTACCTAGACTGTTATCATTCCTTTCTCTTTTTTTTTTTCCCTGTTTTTTTGGTTGGTTGGTTGGTTTTTACACTGGATGAAGAAAGTCTGAATTTTTATATTTAGAGACAGTTCATCTTACCTGTCCCTTGGAGAGAGAAAGCATGTCCAACTTTAAGACAAACCTGAATTCAGGACTGAAATGCTGCATGTGAGGGTAGATTCAGAAACCAGGACAAAACAGGTGATATTATAATTTGCACCAGATAATTTGCATAGAGAAGAATGAATATGCCTCACATCTCTGGCTCTAATTACTTGTAATATTTTTATTGAAATGTCAGCATATCATAATTAGTAAAGTTGAGTAGTCAGCATTTCAGACATAAGAAGCAGTAACACAGAACCTTCCATTTTTCCAGCTGTAGATTCCCAATTTTTATATCAGAACCTCTCAGAAAGAGAGTTTGAGATAGTTACATGTTGGATATTTCCTGCTGTTCATAGCACAGCCTCACACAGGCTCATTAAAAATAGTGAAATCCTGCTGTACAAGATCAAAGTAAATCTGTTGTAGATGCTGGGATTATCAGAAAATAATTTTGCAGTCCTCTGGGTGTGAATTACTGAAAAAAAATGCAATTGTATGTGATTGGTTTCCACTTTTAAATGTAGTTCATATCTTATTTTCCTTTGCTTACCTTGTCATCTAGTTCAGTCCTAATTCATCTGAACAGATGCTTTCCTGCTAAGAGACAGACTGGCCATATGGTGGTCTTTAGCTGTTTTAAATGGAAAAAAGTATATTCTGCACATTTTCCTCCTCCCAACACGAATGACTCCTTGGAGCATGGAGATGACATATGTTTACCTCTTGGAGACAGGATTTTTCCAAAACCTCATCGCAGAAATAACCTTACTGAAAGTTTACCGATGCTTCCATCACCCAGTCCTTTTCTCCTTTCCAGAAGTGTGCTCCTTTAAGAGCTTTATTCCATATTATGACATGAACTTTTTTGTAACAGTACTTCATAATGACAATAATCCTGAGCAAAACTGAAATAAATCTTTAAATTTGACTATTTGGCTTTTAATACGTTTATGTGTCTTATTTCTCAATCTCCTAAGTATTCTTGCATTACAGATTATCTTTGATTCTTTGGTACTTCTTTTTTTTTTTCCTCCTTTCCTGTTTTTAGTTGTTCTAACTTATTCCCAAAGATACTCCATGCCTTTTACTTCAATCGCAATTCTTTTTTCCTCTCTTTTCTCCTAGCAGGTCCTTGCTCTTGCTGTGGTTCTTTCACTTCACTCTCCCAGGTACCTGAAGTGATATTGTGTGTGATAAGAGATAGGAAGTATGGTAGGGATACCTCTGAATACCTTCTCTTGTTTAGTCACTGAATTAAGAACTTTATCAAATGAAACAAACTGAAGAGAAAGTGCAAAATTGGTTGAAGAAAGAGAATGAACAGTGTGTGGGAGCATGCATTAAACCTCCTCCCCAGGGGAAGGAAAGGACTAATGCTGCCATATTCCCCCTCCCGCCTGTGAATATACACATGAATATACACATACCCTTTCTCTGCCTGTGTTATTGTAGGAATTTATCTAAATTACTGTTTACATCCGTTCTCCCCAAATGTAAAGGAATATATTTGTGCCTAATTAGAAGCACAGGAAGAGACCCTGAAATCTTCATTTTTTGCCTTCATCTCACAGAAAGGCAAGGGAATGGTATGGTAAAGTGAAGGGAGGAAAGGTTTTTCTATTTCTTCCAGTTTCCCCAGCTTCCTCTATTACTGGTGCATACGTTTGTCTGCACAAGCCAATCCACACTTGCTGCGGAGCGTAAGGTAGTACTAACAACTTGTGCAGTTTGAACCTTGAATCTTTCAAGGTTTGTTGTTTTGGTGATTGGGTCAGGGTCTCTGCTTTGTGGCCTTGGATTTTCTTTGTGTGGCTTTGAGGCTTTTTCCCTGTTTCACATTGTGCTTTTTAGGGGAAGTTTAAAGCCTTTGTGACTGCATGGGAAAGATTGAAAGGCGTTTTGACTGCATCATGCCAGCTCAGAAACCAGGAGAGAGAAAATCTGCCACAAATATATCACATTTTTAATATATGGTGAAGTTAAGTCTCAAATGTTGGGATATAATTCCTGATATGCAAACATATCGAATTGGTAATGCTTTCTTCACAAACATGATTAAACCTATTTTTATATGTGCTGACAATTATTTGCAGAATTTATCACAATAAATAGTTGGGTTTTTTGCACCGTAAAATTTGTTTAATACAATTGAAGGTTGAACTCCAAACTGAGTTTGGAAAATTCAGTGTAGAACATCAAGAAGAGTTAAATAGCTTTATTAGATGTACTTTAGTTATTAGTACATTATTAGATGTTATTTAGTTACACAGAAAAATGCAGACTTAGCAATGTCAATAAACTGTTTTTTTCTCCTTGGCTGATAAGATACCCTAAAACTGTAATCTGGTTCTCTAGTGAATTAATATGAAACGCAGAGGTGAATGGTGCACAATGAAATCATAACTACATATGACAGACCCTGTAGCTGACACGAACTCTGGTGTGATTTCTGAAGTCTACCACACAATTCGTATCTTTAGAACTCATTTCTCTGGGGGTTGCTTTATTATTTCTGTTTGCTAGGGTCCAGATACAGACTAGACAGGATGAGGAAAAAAGAGAAAGGCTCAGCCTAAAACATACGTTGGTCAGTTAAATAAGTGTTAATTTAGTGTCATTATTAGAAGCCAGCATATTATAGACCTGATAAAGCTTTAGACAATTATGGTTTAATATGAGTTACATCAGGAGGCAATTTGGAAGATGGGAGGTCAGTAAGGAACTCTGTGCTCAAAGTAATTTTATTTAGAGGGTATGATTATTCAATGACAGTTAGTGGCCTAGTGGAATAAATAAATAAAATCATGCGGGTGCGTGTTGCTAGAGGTTGGTGATTAGCTTATGAACTTCACCACTAACTGGAAGCAGAGATGTGACCTCCAAGCCCACTTGTGGCTCCATCAAGCCCTCTCATGGGAAGGGTGAATCAAGGCAAGCAGCACCCATCACAGAGTATGGTTGCTGAGTGCAAAGGGAAATACAGACCAAAACTGCTTGGGGAGAATGAATCTGCAGCAAGGGCAGCTTGCAAAAGAAACGTCTTCCTGGTACAGAAGTTCAAAGTTAAGGATTTTCCAGAATCTGCTTTTAAAGTTGCAATCCAGTTTTGTGTTGTATGAGGTATCACAGGGATATTCAAGGTCTTGTTTTCATTTCTGGTTCTATATGAGCTGGGTTTCCAACTTGTGGGTTTCTGTCCCTTTGTCTCCAAGCAACAGCTTGACATACCAAAGATTAAAATCTCCTTAGGAGTTTGAGATCAAACTAAGTGCAGTGCCATTTGCAGGTCTCTCAGAATGCCTTCAGAAAATAAGTTTGCACATATAATGAACTTTTATTAGTAATCATAACTATGAATTCTGCTGTTAAGATGCACGTACAGCCATTTTGCACCATTACTACTAATATTTCTGTTTTCAGGTGGATGTTGAACATGACCCTCAAATCGCACACATTACACTTCTGATTAATAACACCAACACACTGGTCTCAACAAACGTTACAGATCTTATCCTCCAGGACAATATCACCGGTCTTCATGTTCAAAAAACCAGTGGTAATAAGACCACAGATGGTATACAGACTTATAGCAAAGGAGTCTTGCAAGGTAACAAAATCTACAGGGAAATACCCCTGATTACACACGTGTGATTATTACATGTGTCTGTTCAAATCACAGTAGTTACTTACTTTTGGTGGTGTAAATTCTCTGATTATGAGTTAATACAGGTGAAAAACTCTGGGAGAGGTTTTGTGCTGCAGTTTACTGTTGTATTAGCTTATAACTTGACTTCCACCTTTGAACTGCTTCTGATCTCACAGGCACAGAAGTGAGCCGCTGTACTCTGTAAAAATCACTGCCATCAAAATGAAAGAGAATCTTTCATGGTAGTATTTGTTCGTTTTGGATATTTTTAAGAGCTGCTGCACAAGCCATTTTAATCATATCTGACAAGTCTTCCTTCTTTAGCCAAGCATGGCAGATTGGCTTGCTGAGGTACTAAGATGCATTGGAATTACGAACGGCCGTGGAAGCTGGCAAATAAGGCAGCTCTTCTCAGGATCCATTGTCCCCGAGCTGAGCAAATTACAAAATCAAAACAAGTAATAGAGAGATAAGCCAGTTCCACTCTTGGAGTCAGTCTGTACCTTTGGTAGCAGTTGGATTATTGCGCATTCATAAAATCTTACCTGTCTTGATTTCTTCATCACAAGCACACAGAAAATTAGCTTGCTTCTGAGAGTCATGATATTTCTCTTGGAGCTTTAGAAGCATTCAGTGATACCTGTTCCTGGTTGAAGTATCTAGTGTTACAACATTTTACTGGTGAGAGATTTCCAAACAGAAAAGGGATATAAGTAGACCTGGGGCTGTTGTCTGTTTGCAGATAGCCAGGCTCCATTTCAATTAATAGCAGTGTGAGCAGCAGTACTGATTACAGGGCTGGGGTTTTTTTAAGTGTCAGGGACTTGCTGGCTCTTTAGCAGAGCTTCCTAGAGAAATAATGTTCCTAAGAAAGAATAGAAGAACGGCTTGCGAAGCGGATCTAGTAAACCAAGTTGGAGCAGTTATTTAATTTACTTACAATTACTGAATCTGGAACTGAAGCTGGCTTTTCCAGCCCATACCCACTTCACAAATCATCATGAAGAATACTGAAGTGGAAGAAAACTCAGCAGAATATATTTCTGCATAGTTTAAGGTTTGGTCATTACCATGTCCAGGACTCAGCCCATACCTAGCTGGTAGGGCTGAACAGAAAGCCTATGCCTACACTGGCTTATGTACTGTCATGCTGCGTGTTAGTCATAAACAATTTTTTAGTGCTCCAGTGCACTGTGAATCAAAATTCAGGTGAAATCTCAGTCAGATTTCCTTTTGGTTTCAACCGGAGAACCAACCAGTTAGTGCTTATAATGGAGGCTGTCCCTTTTATTTAAAAAAAAAAAAAAGTTTTAAATATCTAATGTTGAGTTTCAGTATCAGTCAAAACATGATCCTTTTCAGTAGCTTGAGGCATCTTTTAATGCAGTTTTAATGCAGTTTCCAGATCCTGGGCCAGATTTTCTTGAGTTCATAGAGACAACAGATACAAGGGATGTAGCTGGGCTGATGTGGCCATCACTCTAGATGCGGGGCATCTGCTGTTTCAGAAAGGAAAAGATCCAGTGCTGTCTCAAGCTTTCCCCAGGGATCTTCAAGGAATTCTCCTGGGACAAAGCAAATTTATATCTCTCCTCTCTGAGCTATGCTGATAGGCTCTGGCTGCCTCCTCTGCTGAATTCCCTTGAACACGGTGTTGTGAGCTTACTGCAGCTGCATTCCTAGGAGAACACTTTGGCTGGTGAGGAAACATAAGTCTAAAGGGGCACCTAAAAAGCTCCTCAGATGTTTTATTCATATTGAACTTGCTTTTCAAATTTTGCAAACATCTGTAACTGCAGCTGAGCTCAGCTGGGTGCTCTGCTCTTCAGAGATTCATTCGCAGTCTTGGTTAAAAAACGATGTACATCTGTACTGGGTTGTTTTCATGGCAGTGTAGCTACTGTTCTGTTTAAGAAAATGCAGACACAATACCTAGAGACCACTAATGCACTGACAGATGTACCTCACTTGGTTAATCTACATAACTGGGGTTTTTTTCTCTTCTAACAGGTGGGGAATACTTTGCAGTCACCTACTCTGCACTTCTTGATGCAAAAGAAGTGTGGGATGGCAGGGTCTTGATACTGCCCGCACAGCTAACTTTCAAGAGTTCATCACAGGTATTTCCTTTACAATTTTATTTTGTTCTTCACAGTTTTTGTGAAAACAGAAATTAGAATGCGTCGCCAAGGTGATACTTGTTTACCTAAGCAATGAGGCCTGCATGTAATGAAATTAAGTTCTTAGGCTCTCTGATAGTTTACCGTGAATTTATAAATACATGAGTTATCCTTTATAGCTTAGGAAGTCGTAGACTTCCTTAAAGAGGTAGAGTATGTTTGTATGTTGTCCTGTTGCTTTTCTACTTTTTGTATTTCTCTCCAGTTTAGTCTGAGAGAGATTGAAAGTTTTGTCATATTTTTATCAGAAAAGAATTTATTTTAACCAAAAAACAAGTTGAAGCAAAGGAAAACCTCCTTGCTTGTAAGGAGGACACTTTTTCAGTGTGTGAGTTGTAGAGACTTTTCAGAGAAGCTGACGAATCTCTATCCTTGCTGATTTTTGAGACCTCAGTTCCGAGTTCTCAAACTCCGAGACAGCTGGTCTGATGCTCGGGTCAGCCTGTGTTTGAATAGGAGGCAGGACAAGTGGTTTCTTCCAAAGTAAAATTTTCCAATTCTTAAAAATATGGCTTGATGCTTTTTTTGTGGTTTTCATCATTGCATGTACCTAGAACCTGCAGATGTATTTTCATTTCAACCGTTGTATCTTCTCTGCTTTAGAGGATAAAACATTCCATGTTCATGAGGGTGGTACTAGAGTGGAGGAGAGCGAGACTTCACAAACCAGGGAGTTACAAGAGTAGAGACGTGTGCACTGCCTGTGGCTCCTGTTCCGTGCATTTTCAGTCAACCCAGCCTTTATAGGCATAGAAAGATGTGATTCTGTGAGCACCATAGTACGCCTCTGTGTGATTAGCAGAGGAGTGTATCCCACAGAGCAGCTGCTTCCGTGTCTGTTAGCGTTATCCTAAGTACACTGCATTTTCCTATCCGATTTATTTCAGCTTTAAGCTTAATAAGAAATATAGCTTATCTTCTAAACAGAGGCTTTTCTAGGGACTCTGGGCTGTTTGCCAGTGGATTCTGCTCTTTTTTTTTTAATGCACGTAATACTTTTATATCTCTCTCAGAATAAAACACATCTCGTATCACTGACAACATCGTTCACCATCACTGAAGAAACAAAGACCAAGGTAAATTCTATGATTTCCTATTATGGTTTCTAAGAGGCCAAATAAACCTTCAAAATTACATCAATTGCAGCAAACAGCATTATTCTTCTAGGTAATTTTTATTAAAGAACTCCCCACTGCATCCATCAGTTTCATTGCTAAAGTAATGAGTAATCTCTTCACCAAACTTGTTTTTCTGCCCCAACCGCTTATTACCTTGACAAGCTGCTATGTTGCAGGGGGTATTTTTTAAGGAGCTGTGGCTTGGTTGGCAAGAATGCTCTGATTATTTGTGTTCAGGCAGAAGAAAATTGTTTGGTTTACCCTGGAACATTTTTTCCATGATTGTATCATTTGAAATTTAAAGTTCATGTGGATGGGGCTTGCGTGATGAGGTCCTGAGAGCTAGACTGCTCATTCCGTCCATGGACCTGTCACATGAGTTCCTCTCTGCCTTTAAAATCAGTAGTCTATTTGGAGATTTGGCACAGGGACCTCTTGTTCCAGTATTCTCTTTTGCTGGGGAGCTTCTGCCCTCTGAGCTTCTATTAGTATAAGTATAATTGTAAGTATTAGTATAGTAAGTCCAGACTTGGCTTTCTCATAATTGAAGGTCAAGTGTTCACTCTGTTAAAATGAAAGCCAGAATTAAACATGATATGAAGTAAAACTATACATAAGCTAGAGAACTTACTGTTCTAGTAAGTTTTAAAAGGATTGGACATTTGCATAGCTATGAATTATGCTTGGAATTACCATAAAGATATTTTTTGGAAAGTCTTATTCTTAAAGGTGTAAGCCATGCAGTAGTTGACTGGGTTAGAAAAATAGCTTCATGAATGGTTTTCTGTAGAGTTCTGTGTGAACTGATCTACAGCAGCTGGTGATATCTAAGCTAAGATTGTAAGCTACATTGATCTCAGCTATTACTATACTTAAAACCTTTATAGTGTGGGGTTTTCCAACTTGAACTTGACATTTAGACCTCAACAAGTTCTTGGGGACTATTTCATAGTTAGGTAAAATTGGCTCAGCTGCATCTGAACTTACTAAATCAACAGGTTTTGTAATTAAAATGTGTGGTAAAGGTGTGTGGAGAATACTGTTAATTTTTGAAAAGTAAAGCTTAGAAATTACAGAACACATCATGTTTCACATGCAGAGTGTTTGCCTTTGGACTGTGGCCAAGCATAAGGCACTTCAGAATTAAATCAGTTTGTGCAAGGAAATTATGATTAGCTGAAAAAGGTGTGATGTATTGTATTTCATCCATACCTTCACCTGTCATAAATGCTCTCAATCTCAGATTTTATTTACTAAAAATCATTATTTAAACATGTTCATAGGTGTGGTAAAGCTAACACGCATGTGTGACTAAGTGGGTAATAAATGTTGACTTTGGAGGCAGAAAAGAGAAGAATTCATGGTGTAGACATGGCAGTGCCATGCTAAGTTGGGCTGTCAGCTTTTGCTTGGTTTGCTTGCACACTTGGCTACTGCTGTGGTTCTTTAAAGTTTCACAAACCCTGCAGATTTTCTCTTCTTTGCCACTGGAAGAAAGTGCTTGGTTGCTCGTGACAAGGTAATTTTGCGGGTTATGAAAAAAATATGAGTGTTGCTCATGTGAGTGTCCATGCCAGATGTCTTCCCTCAGCGCTTCAGGGGCTGTGAGTATTGTGTGCCTACGCCCTTAGCTGGGTGGTTTTGATGCTGAATGGGAAGCTGTAGTGAAAAGGACAAAAGGAAGTTTCCCATCTAAGCATGTTGCATGGCACAGATGATATTACTTTGATCTGACTTTTACCAGGCTTGCTTCTGTCAGCATCCTTCAAATCAGAGGAAGTGCAGCAGTTCTTGAAAGAAACTTGGGCCTGTAATGCCGCTTCCAAGTTTGGGGATGGCTTAAGAAGTTAGCTCCGGATATGGGTTTTGAGCCTCATTGGTGTGTCAGTGGTTTGAAGGTTGGCCTGCAGTACCAGCACTGGTCCTGTGCTGCGATTTGTGCAGAGGCTCTTCTGGCACCTGCCCACACCATCCACAGTGACGCTTTTAGATGTTATTAGGTGCCTGCTGTGTCCTGCTTGCGGGTACAGCCCCCCAGTGACATTGACTTTCTTTCCAGAGCCCATTTTCTTTAAGTGTCAAAGTACATATAATTTCCTTTCCTCTATTTTCCTCTATTGGAGCTTAACCTCTAACAGATCTGCCTGCCCTGGTGCAGGCTGACTGTCCCACCACAGGTCTTGCTTTTTACTTCACTTAGAAAGTACAGGTAATTCCCTAGGCATTTTTTCTCTGTCAATAGTTAACAAGCTTCATTTCAGCTTCACTGAACCCATATCCTCACTAGGTTCCTGCTTTCCCCAGAAGCCTAGAGAGATCCCTAAATTGCACAGACTGCTTGGAGGTTAGATAAGTGTGAGTTCAAACAAAATGATAAAGTGGTTCCAAAGCAGCATTTTTTCTTCCTAAGTATTATGTACAGCATCTCCTGTTTATCGAAAGTGGTTGGACCGCAGGCAAAACCTTGCTGTGGCAGAGCTCAAGAACCTTTCTGTGATTCCCTCTTGGCCACCTAGTGCAACTGGAGAAGCTGTGAACAACAGATTGTCTTCAGAGGAATTGTATTTTTTCCAAGTCCCACACAGATGTTTGTTAGCTTGGTGGCTGTTCAAGGGCTAAACCCTTTTGATCTGTGAAGAGGCTAAACACTGGATTAGGAAGGGGAGTTACTTAATATTTACAGAAACATCCTTCAAAAAATTAAAAGATGAAGATATTTTGATACAAAGTGATGCAGCTTTAGTTGAGCTCATGGCAAGGAACTGGGGGGCAGTGCTGAGTGAGAGGAGGTACTGATGCTGATATAGGTGTGCTGGGTGTCCTCAGCTGTGGCACAGAGGAGTGTAATAGGAGCAGTTGGCCAAAGCTACATCAAGAAAAAACCTTCAGACAATGTGTTAGTATTTACACATGGAACTGGGAAATTTTTATGCTACTTCTCGTTTTCTTTCTTGTTTCCATTTAAAACTTAAAGGTATTGAAAGGTATTAAAAGGAATTCAGCACATGGCCGGCTTACTCAGGTTAGTACTTAGCCCCAGAACATTTTAGTGAACCTCAAAGTTCTTCAAGGTTTACTTGTTTTAGACTAAGCACATTAAAAATAACCGAAACAAAAAGCCAAGCCAGTCATGCCTCTGTCAGTCAGAGCAATTGTTGATTCTGCATGTGCAATGCTGTGAAGTAAACCTTGGATCTTCTTGGAACTCTCAAATGCCAAATAATAGCCTTTATTACTGTCTTGATGATGCCCTTGATACTGACATCATCACCTAATTCAACTGAAATTATTTTGTAATCAGTGAGTGCTGAGCATCTCCAGCAGCTTTGAGGAGATGAACTTGTGACAACTAAGCCTGACGTGAAGCAGTTCCTTTCAGTTAGATATGACAGATTCTTAGTGTATAAAAACATATGAGAGAGAGAAAAACTAGGCAGTAAAAGCATAAAGTTCTAGTGTGAAATTGGAATAAATCCTTTTCAAATTGTGAACCATGTTTGATTATTGCTTCCTATGCAGAATTACTGTTGACTGTGTGATTTCTGCTCTCAGCTTTCTGCTCCAAGAGATGACCAAGCCCAGCCTGCAAGCAACATGTTAATTATTTACACGTTCTAACCTCACCAGAGTGATTAGTTTATGCTGAAATATTATACTAATAGCTGTGCTATGGTTTTCATCCAAAGATCTCAAAGAACTAAACAAACACTGAATTAACTACTGCTACATAGAGCATGAAGTAAAAATTAATTTTTAATGCAATTCAAAGATTAAATTAAGAACTAAAAGGAAAAGCCTACCAAGTTGTTAGCTGGCTTGCTGTTCTAGTGCTCCTGCTATTCTTTTCTGACTCTGGCTCATGCAGAAACTGCAAGGGTGTGCACACACTGGATGGTTTTGTTTCAACTGTCAGTTAGGTATTTATTCTGAGCTCATACTGGTGCTTTTTCTTCATGGTGATTACTCAGTTTTATTAAGTCAAAAAATGGCTATTAAATAAAGGTAGCTAACACTAGACCACTTTTTCAGAGCAACAGCAAATGCCGTCAGTTTCAGTAAGACTTAAGAAGAGTTTGGCAACAGTGGAAAACCAGCGGTTAACTACAGGACACCTGAAAGTCACAGCACCTAAAATTCAGTCTGTGGGAGTTCTGTTGCTTGGAGTTACACAGGAATTCAGACTAGGTGAACATAACAAACCATGATGACTCGAAAACCTGGGGAAAATAGACACTTGTTTGAAAATGTTAATACAAATACAACAATTCTAACTGAATGCTGAGAAACCCTGAAGTTGTGTGAAGCCATTTAAAAATAATTCACTACATCGCTTAGAGCTATAATCTTCGAGTGTGGTCTTTATATGTATATTCAAAATGTAATTTTAATAACATGGTCTTTTAATTTCAGGTTTCGTACAGCCATGCCATCCATGCTTCAGGGTTCTTCATCGCTTTTTTTGTTTCACTTGTACTGACATGTGCTGTCTTTTTCATCGTTTACCGAACCCAAATATTCAAATGGACTTTCCATGGTAAAAACCAGGTAAATCATACTGTTTGTAATGGTATTCTGTTTAAACTTTTCATTGATCATATCTGATGATGTAATTTGCTAACTAATACAGATAGTCTAAAGACTTTTTGAAGATAAATGAAAGGCCAGCAAGTGATGGATCTGATTTGCAGATAGTGCAATCTCTACAACCTCTTATGTTTAGCACAGTCGGATTTAGAGGGAGTGTAAGAATGATAATCTGATCAAAAGAACTGCTGTCAGTACCTGGATGTTAGCTTCAGACTGGAGGGAGATTACCCTTTGGCTGTAAGTTTCCTTTCATATTTTTCTCTTCCTCCTCTCTTCTTCATCCCTCAAAGTGAGAAGCAGGATGTCTGTGGGTTATAAGCAGTTGGTCCACTTACCTTGAGCACAGCAGACTTGTTCCAAATTGTATTTCTGGTTATTAGGAATAGGGATTTGAATTTAGGTTCTTTGGATGTGTGTTAATCTCATGGAGTGATTGAGCAAAACTGTTGGGTTTGGGGATGAAGCATTTTCAGTTCTCTTTATCCAAGCTGTGACAGTTTGTAGAAAGTATTTCAGTACATACTGGGACAGAGAGAGAAAATAAAAGTCTAATAAATATTCATTAAGTTGACCCAAGTTCCAGCCCATGCTCCTATTAATTGCTTATGTATTTATGTAAAGTGGAGCAATTTCACTAGGAGGGGGCTAGAGACCTCAGTCAGAATATCACAGTGGATCCATCAACAACTTTTACCTTTTAGGTCTGAAAAAATATTCCTTTAAATGAAAAGGCCGTGCCTTGTTTCTTCTTACAGAAAAAGCTGTGACAATGAATCATGGAAAAGGTTCAGTTTTGTCCTAGAATCAAGTATTTGTAGTGGGGGTTTTGTGTGGTAATTTTATTAGCCCTCAGTCTCAGGGGAGTTTCTAAACTGCAAACTGAGTCACTTCCATCATTCACAGGATTAATTTACCATATTGTTCACCTCATAATGCTGTAATCTTGCTTTATGTAATTTGTCTAAGTATAAAAAAAAAAATGCCCTAGAAAGTTTATAATGGAAGATTACCTCCTAGAAGGCTTTCACAAGCCTACTGTAGTCACTGTAGAGTTCTGTCTTCTCCATTCATTTCTTCATTCTTACTCCAGATCAGTTATATACAAAAACTTCAGCCTGAAACAACTAATATATTTGATTTCAGATATATATCTGAATTGCACTATCTCTTTATACTCTCTCCAGCTTTACAGTTTGATGATAAATAGGAACCTTCTCACCCAGAGTTACTGCAGTAAAATTTGATCAGATGTTCAGTGTAAATCGTTAATTTTTATTTTTTAGGAGATGCAGCATGAATTCATCCAGAATCACAAACTGGAGCATTCTCAGTTTAATTCAGGTGATCTGTTTAGTGAAGATATAATTATGAATGACCAAATCATTGATATTCTGTCCCTTGAAGAACCTGGGAACATGCTTCAGGCTTTGGAAGAGTAAGAATTTACTGCTATTACTTCACATTTATCATTAACCAAACCTTTGAATATATTTTGAGTATCTCCCCTTTCATTTTTTTATGCATAAAAACTTAGGGTTTTGTCTGTATTAAATAGCCATCAGTGGGAACTGAAAATCATCGTATTTCATATTGCTTCCCCTGTAGAGGTGACAGTTCCATCTAGGTCCTAGACATGCAAATTTTCCAATCCAGATTAACATCTAGGTTTGCCTCTTTGTGGTTCACTAAGGGAAACTTTTCTGTGTACAAGAAAATGTTGGAAGGGTGCATTCTGCTATTGTTGAAAATATTCTGCTTTGAAAAGGCTGGCTTTTGTCCTAAAAAAGAGAGCCCCTGCTGGGTGCCAGTATATCTGTTCAGCAGCATATTCGGGTAACACCTGGATCAGAGTCCAAGGAATAACAGTTCATAAAGCTGCCAGAAAGAAACCACATAGCTGCAATCAGAGTGATCACTGGGTAAAGCAAAGAAACTCTCCTGATGTTGTTGAAAGGCCAGTCAGGGCTGTTTGACAGAAACATGCTGCTGTTAAAGGTCATCTGTTCTTCAGCTGAATTTGATTAAAAGGTCTGATGTGAGGACAGAGAGGATTTTGTTTGTTTGGTCTCACCATTAGCTTCTGGCAAGTCAAGTTACAGGCAGTATTATACAACAATAAATTCAGTAGAAGCTGAAAAGAAAAAGTTATAGGAACCATGGAATTAATCTTTCTTGAAGAGTAATATCAGCATTATAATTATTTAATAATTGGGATACTTACCTCTGTAAACTGCACATTGGACCTTGCTTTTATAACTATGTAGCAGCTCAGGCTTTGAGATTTATCCTGAAAATCATTGTGTGAATATGAATAAGAGGATCAAATATTTTTTAAACTCACTTTAGTATTAATTTATTTTAGGGATAGCAAATGTCTAGCTAGTTCAAGGGAAAAAAAAAATCTACAAAAAGCTGGACTTTTCAGATACATTATGGTTTGCAAAGGTAAATATTCTTGCAAACCTTTGAATTGGATTATTTTTAGAACTGGATTATTTCCAAACCCAGAAAACAGGATTCATTTGTTAGTTTGAGTATGCATCTGGGGGCTAAATATTTTTAATATTCTCATGCAGTTAGCACAAGTATCTCGTTTGCTTCTGCTTCTTTCCTCATGAAATCTCATAGAAACCTCATGAAACCTCATGGTTTCTATTTCCTCTACTTCTAAGCAGGTAGAGCATTGCAGTGAATAAAGTAGAAGCCCATCAGCAGTCAGTAACCTTCTTCATCTTCGGAGTTATCTTTTCCTTCTTCCAGGATGAGGATAGTAGATGGACCACAAAGGTATCCAGACTTACAGTGGTTCCTGCTGTGAAGGTGATTGAAATAGTGATTATTAGACATTATTCTGAAGGGCTCAAATCAGTCTCTACCTGTTAGCAATGGGTGCTTCCCAACCGCTATTTAGATTATCCCAATTCTTCACATTTCTTGTAGTTTTAAACTGGACCTTCTGATTCACTTACTGCTAGGTAGAACACAGATATGGTTACCATGTTTTTTTCTATTTTTTCTCTCTTTTTATTGGTGCTTATTGATTATGTGTTTTCATTTACTACAAACGTGTTTCTCTCCTCTCTTACTGGTGGTGCAGTTTGACTGTGTGAGGATCTCTGCAATGTGAACTTTTTCCCTGAGTTCCCCTTTTTATTCGGAGATGAAAAAGAGCACTTCTAGGGTGTGATTATTCTCATCCCAAAGTAGACTTCCAAAAATTGCTCATATGGCTGCTGTGCCCACTGACCCTAAAGCCTGGAGCCTGCGCTGATTGGCACGGCTGTAGGGGTATGGAGGTGGGTGAGACAAATCCCATTCTTGTAGGCTGGTTGGTCAAAAAGGTGACGGCATTACTTTAATGCTTGTAGATACATGCAGTGTTGTTTCTGCTTTCTTCAGTAGCTGTAATACACCCCTTGTTTTATTCCTCATTGTTAACACTTTGATATTTAGCTTAAGACACTTCCTTATTTTGTAATGTTGGTTCCTTATTCATTCTCCAAGTTAGGACAAAGCAGTACTGATCTATATTCCTTGAAGGTTTCATTTTAGTCTTGTACTTCATAAACTATTGTACATTATCCTGGGTTTTAGCTGATTCCAAAGACAAAGATAAAATACTGTACTGCTGCTTTAGGAGCGTCTATGAGTGATCTAGGCTGAAACCAGAATGGAATAATTCTTTTAACTGAATTACCTGCTTTAAGGATATTGATTTGTAAAACATAATGGGAAAAAGAAAGATGGTGCATTTGTAATTTATTAATGGGTAATTGCAGTCAATTCAAATGGATTGTGTGCTTGAATGAAATGTTGTAATTTTGCTAATTGTGGACACAATCAGTTTTTCAACAATGTTGCATTTTGTTTTCTTGCATTTAGTTTCACCCAGCAGAATAGTTGGGTTTTCTGTAAGGAGCTGAGGAATGAGGTTTGTATTGTCTCGCAGGAGTGGCAGTTATACTGAGGATGAGAACCAGGCTTGTATTTTGAGCACAATTTTTTCATGTCATATGTATACCAATATGAATTCTAGCATCATAATCCTGGTTCTTATTATTTGGGGAGGCAAAAGTATAGGGGCTTTTGTTAGAGAGCTTTTGATACTTCAGTATTTTCAACAAACATCTCGCTTGTGTACTAGTTTGATAATTCCTTCTGCATGTATTGGTGCAGCTGTGTGTCATTTTCTGTACATGGCATACATATAAGCTTGCAAACATAATATATTCTTTTTAAATTGCACTATGATAGTAAACATGGTTGGGATCATTCTGGTGCTTTGTTCTTTGGTGCAGACACAAATGAGAAAATTACTCAGAAAAGTATGAGCCACAGGATTTTTTTGTCCTCTTCACAACATAAAGCTATGTTAATAGTTAATGTCTTTTACAAAGTGACAGTGCCAAATTGTTTAGCAAATACAGTAGGAGCATGTGTTCAATATTTATGGACGGGGACATCTTTGTAGTGTAGGCAGTTTGCAATGTCAGGACGATTGGCTAGAGAACAAAACATACTTTTAATATTTCATAAGGAAGCTTCTTAGTTACTCATTTTGTGAGTTTAGTCTTAATAAATCATATCTTTGATGTATATTATGCAGCAAAATAGCTTGGTTTTTATTCTCAGTAGGTTCCTTAATGTGTACATTCCTGAATGGTGGCCCATTGGCAATGAATGCTAATGAGGAGAAGCTGTATGATTTGAATTTTGACGTGCACCCTAGAAGATGATGTTCCAAAGTGTTGTGGGTCCCTTTTTTTATATGTCTAGAACAAACTATGAACGGAGCTGAGCAGCTGGGGTTTGTGTCCAATGTGATGAAGTCTGATCATGCTCATAGTCTCTGTAGATACAGATATGTTAAAGGCAACTTAATTTTCTTAAACAGCTTTCCACTACAACTTTTCTTTTTCATCTTCATTTTTTATACAGGTATGCTTCCTTGAGTTTGTCAAAGCTCTAGCTGAACTTGAAACTGCTTGCTGATACACAGTACATACTGCCAATTATATTAGGAAATCACTGAGTAATATGTATGCATCACAGCTGATTTATAGTAGAGGGCATTGAGGCCAATGTACTAGAGAACAGGATCAAACTGTCTCCAGAGAGCCTTGACAGAAAAGTCAAAAACAATTTACTGCCATATTAGAAGGTCACTTTTTACTTCTAAATGTAAATTTCTTCCTCTACATCTCAATTTAATTTTCTAAGAGCAAATGTGTTGGAGTTTTTTTTAACCCCGAATACAGATTAGAAGTAAGAATAAAAGATCACATTGTCATAGCAGCTAGACTTGACTAGTCCTACATAGAAAATGGTGAGAAATGATGACATCGTTAGTACAAAAAAACAGTTGAGGTGATAGATTTCTTAACTTCTAAAAAGTGCAATCAAAATTGTAGAGTTTTTGAAGGGAGGGTATATTCATTGCTCTGTTCTCGTGCAGTGTATACAATGCAGAAATTCAGTCATCACATGGATATAACAATAAGATGCAATGAATAAACGTAGAGTAAAACCAAACCCTACATTTGTAGGCCTGTATTACAAATGCTCTTATAAGAATTATACATGGCAAGTGGATAAACTGCATTTTTTTCGTCCAAAAATAGCATGTTTCTTTGATGTTGACAAGGTGAAGAGATCTTGTTCAGAATTATATGAGTCATTTTTGCTGTCCACCCAGAACAATTTATCTCATTTAGAAAACAGTCAGCTTTTGAGAGTAGTGCTGTTATTGGTGCTTTGCTCCATACCAGTTTGAAAGATTGATAGGTCCTGCCATTTCTGTCATCTGAATACTCACCCTGTCTGAACAGATCAGAAGAAACTGAGTAGATCACAGTGAAGTTGGAAGCTCCCCAGGCATTAATGCATGATGCATATAGCCATAATATTTATTTATGCTTTTGTTACTATCCAGGCTGAAGTTGGTGCCTTTAAGAACAATGGTAAAATGTGTCATGACTTCACTGGAAGCAGGACTGGAGTAATTCTTACCTCTTTTTGCATACTGGTTTTTCAGTAAAATACCATTTTCTGATCTGTGTTGCAACAGCTCTGTTGTAGCTACCTGTGGCTTTTAAATTGGTTTGCTGAAGACCACTGATTTATCAGGTTTCATACTTTCTGCAAGCAAAGCAGAGATTCTCCGTCTCTTAAAAGCAGGATTTTTCAAATGCTTTTTAAACAGATTAATTTAAGAATTGAGATACCTTTACTACCTTCATGTTATGTTTACTATCTTTATGTTATGCACAGAGTTTAATGAATTTGATGTGAAACTGCTGATAAATCTAGTGCATAGACTTCTGGCAGGTTTTTGTGAGTCATATTTTTTTCTGAAGAGTTACTGATCTCTCAGCTCAATTGTTTTCCAATTTGGGGATTTTTCTCTTTTTTGGCTTTTTTATATCGTAAGAATCC